GCATTAGAGAAGGTGAGAGAAGGAAGGGGAGAAGGGCTTGAAGGGGAAGGAAGCCATAGCCAAGGGGGTGCTTGACCAACGGAGGAAGAGACTTCATCAAGATTGATACTTCACCTCAAGACACCAAGGAGGTGAGTGAACAGGAGGGACTTCTCCTCCTCCTTCTTCTTCCTCTTCTTCTTCTTCTTCTTCTTCTTCTTCTTCTTCTTCCTTTTCTTTTTCTTTTTTATTCTTGTCCTTCTTCTATTTCTTCATCCTCTTCTTCTTCTTCCTCTTCTCCTTCTTCTTCTTCTTCCTCTTCTCCTTCTTCTTCTTCTTCATTTTCTTCTCTTCTTCATCCTCCCCTCCATCTACTTCTTCCTCTCTCCCTCTCTCTCTTTCCTTCCTTTCTCCACTCTCTCCTCTTCTTTCTCTCTCATAGGAACCCCCTCAAACATAAGGGGATACGGTGGGGAACCTTCCCACTAATAATGATCCTTCAATAGGCTTTCCCTTCACTCCCATGTAAATCGCCACTTTCCCCTTTGATAATTCATGCATTTGGATGAGTTCTACTCACCGAACTCTCACTTTCTCTCCATTTTTCCACTTGGATGTAAATCGCAACTTTGATTCTTGCTCATCTTGATGTTTGGATGATGATTAGTGCTAGATGAGTCTTGTTCTTCACTCCCATGTAAATCGCCACTTTCGCCCTTGATAATTCATGCATTCGAGTGAGTTCTACTCACCCAACTCTCACTTTCTCTCCATTTTTCCACCTGGATGTAAATCGCAACTTTGATGCTTGCTCATCTTGGTGTTTGAATGATGATTAATGTTAGATTAATTTTGTTCATCACTCCCATGTAAATCGTCACTTTCCCTCTTGATAATTCGTGCATTTGGGTGAGTTCTACTTACCCAACTCTCACTTTTTCTCCATTTTTCCACTTGGATGTAGATCGCAACTTTTATTCTTGCTCATCTTGGTGTTTTGATGATGATTAGTGTTAGACTAGTCTTGTTCTTCACTCCCATGCAAATCGCTACTTTCCCCCTTGATAATTCATGCTTTTGGGTGAGTTCTACTCACCCAACTCTCACTTTCTCACCGTTTTTCCACTTGGATGTAAATCGTTACTTTGATTCTTGCTCATTTTGTTGTTTT